AAACATTCCTATTCCCGAACCCTTTGCCACGAGGCAACAGAGGACCTCATTTTTTGTTTCTAAGAAGTTATATTTATCCCTTTATGGAATCAAAACCGTTTAAGATGTCTGCGTGTTTTGAAACCCTATATATTTCAAGGCTTTTAACTGAAATGACGAGTTAGTTGCTTTCGAAAAACGTAGTAAAAAATGATAATGCACAAAAAGTTAAGGTTTCTTAGGTGTATTTACCTAATGAGGTGAACTCGTTTTCGGTTTCAAGACTCTGTTTGCAAGAACGAGGCATACAAAATATGGTGGCTTTTTGAATTGGTTAATACTTAGAAAAAGATTGGCACCTTTTTTATTACGAGTATCGGGCTTTATTGATTTTGTGATCTGTCAATTTTTTAGAGCGCGACGAACTTTACCATAACTAATTCTTCATACGGACTGACAAGAGGTTCTTCCATTGCACATTACGTGAGTACATATATTTATATGCATCAGAAAATTACCAAAATAGACAAGAAAACCCACATCTTCCCTGACATTGCACTGTCGTTTGTCTCCATCTAGGGCTTACTGACTGCATGCACTGTGCGTTAATTTAAGTTTTGTTGCCAATAGGCAGGCGAACCAGGATCACTGTGCAACTTTTTGGAAAAATGTTTTTTGCCCTTCGCCCCGCTGTCGATCCCAACAACAAATCAATAATAATTATAACCTGGAGATAATAGGACTCATTAAGTGTGGAGCTGGATGAAGAAGTGAGGCTCAAAGGCAATAGTGGGTTAATTTTCCCCACCCATATTATGTACATTATAGAATTCTGTATGTTTTATATTTTGAAAACAACAGCTGTAAACAAGAACAATAAAACAAATACAGCTGAGTGTAAAACGGTTTCGCCTTTCTTTTGTTGAACAGAATAGCAATCCTATTCTTTTTAGTATTCCCCGCTATACAGTATCAGTAGATCATGGGTGAATTTGATAATTCTTTTGTCAGGGCATTTTACATACCATACCCAGTGCCATTTAACAGATACGTATCCTTTCTACATTACATTACGTGAGAAAAAAGGGTGCTCTCAGAATGAAATAAATGATAATAATAATGATAATGATAATAATAATGATAAAGAAAAAAATAATAATGATATTAATAATAATAATTATATGATAATAGTAGTCGTAATGATAAAATGATACGAAAGGGTAATCTACGTACACGTAATATTTCTTTTCTGTTTTGTAATCAGATTACCTCTCTACCATATCCAGTTCAGATACCCTTCTACTTGCTATTCGGTAAGTTTGGTAAACACCGGAACAAAGCTAGAAACAAACAGTTCATTTGCTGGAATATTAGTTTATTTTTTCTTTTGACTTTTGAGGCAAAGTATCACGCGAGATATATGAAGGCTTTCGCCGAATCAAAACAAACTCATAGCAAGACCATAATCCCTAAAAGGAACTTTATTAAGCCTTGCCTTTTGTTATTATTATGTTATTATTTTCATTATCATAAGTATCAAAAACATTATTAGTTCAAATTAATTAATTCATAATTAACTTTTCATTGTGGGGTTTTGATCAAACTCACAATGTGGACTTATGGCTTGAGGGCTAGATTGCCTGTTCAGTCGGTGCATGAATTCTGCTTCTCTGAAACATGTTTTGTACCCGTCATTTTGCAGCTTGCAAAGTGCCAACACCGTGCCGTGCGTTTATGGGTGAGTTGTTCGGCTGAGACCAGGGATTTATGCAAACAAACATAATATTTAAAAGTAGTACTTTTGTTTTCTTCTTCTAAGGGCAGTAGGGCGGCTCGATTTCTCTAGTATTCTCACTATTAGAAGGCAGGGTGGCAGAGAGTTTAGACTTACACTTAAAATCTGAAAGAGTCAGAGTACTTTTTTCCTCATCTTTCCTCTCTCGTCTTTTTTATAGATCAACCAACTATACGTACAGGTAGGTTTGAAATTAAAAGTCTTCACCAGAACGACGTTTTCTAGAGGAAATACGTTTCTTTGAGAGGCATTAAGGGTTCAAAGAGGGAAAATTGAGACTTCGGCTAGGATGTGTTGATTTCACTTGAGTTTTTTTCAACGGAAATTCGCGTCTCTACCCGACCGCACAGAGGGACTATGTATTCAACTCAGGTATAATTAGAGGCATATCCCAGGGCCCAGACCAGGAAGCTCCCTTTCAGATTCTCTAATTTTTTTATTTTATCTCTCCAAAAATGAAATAATCATTGGTAG